TTGGTCACCCTCCTCCTCCAGCTATTTATCCAAAGATACCATATCTCGGAGCATTGCTTCATTTCCTGCTCGCTTTTCTAACCGAGGCCTTTAAATCATGTCCCTGCAGCTGAGGTCACGGAGAGATGTGTAATATTCATTAACGGTGATGCAGCTCTTACCTTGATTCACCTCACCCCTTCCTCCTTTCACTTTTTCCTTTCTGTTTGCTGCTTTCCCTTCCTATTTCTTCCTCCCTCCTGGTCTTGGTGCAGGAGAGAGCTGGCAGGAGCCTACCAAAGCGGAGCCTTCTGGGGTGCAGCCTGGTTTTGGGGACCTTTTGGGACTCTGGGGATTCCTCCTGGACCAGCGGCAGCACATTCCCTCCTGGCCAGGGATGCCGTGGGCAGCGGGAAGGGCTGGCTCCAGGCTGCTCCATCCTCACCCCCGCAGAGCCCTTCCCCTGGGCCTTGTCTGGGTCAGAGTGTGGAAAAGCCCGGATTTAATTCAGCTCAGTGTCTGAAACGTGGAAATAATGACGGCTGAAGGATCCCAGGGAAAGGACAGAGGATCAGACTGACAAGTCTCTCGGCTGTGTTTAAAACACGCTCCCACACGTGGGCTCTCACCCCCAGTAAGCAGCTGAGCTGGGAACTGCCAGGCACTGGAGTCACCCCATGAGGGGCTGCCCAGCACCTCCCTGTTGTGGGACCCCAGGGCTCCAGCCCCAATTTACCCCTCTGCCCCCTCCCCTGCCCCGTGCCAGGCACCGCTTGGGGGAGAGCAGGATCCAGAGGAATCCAAGACCTCAGTGTTTGTTTGTACTCAAAACAAAGTGAAACAGGGAAATCAAAATGCAAAGCATCTCAGCCCCTGTCAAGCTTTCCTGCCTGCGTTTGGGGAGCCGACATGATGCTGTGGGTCAGCAGCTTCTTCCCCTTCTCCCCACGTATCGCTGGGAGCCCGGTGAAGCCCTCCAGCAGCCAGACCCACTGCACTCCCCACTTCATCCCCCACCTTCTCTGAGGCCAAACTGTGCCCCTGACACCTGTCTCCAAGAATACATGTTTATTGCACGAAACAGAGAACCTTGAAGGGGGTTGGACCTTATCCATGAGCTTTTGGCCAGATCCTTCCCGATCCACATTATCCTTCCTTTCCCCAGTGCATAATCAGACTCTCCAAACAGGGCGTTCTCTGGTCCCAGCCCAGAGCTTGGAGCCTCCCGAGAGAAATATGCTAAAAAAAGAAAGAAAAACATTACATTGCCAAGTGAAGCGAGTGCTGAAAGGAAGGAGATGCCAGGAGCACTTAAACAAGAATTTGAGGCATGACCCATCGCAGGGAACACTGAGAGGACAAAGCTGTTCTGGCCAAGCCCTGCGTGTGGAATATCAGAGGGGTTTCATGCGTAGCTCAGAATAAACAGGCAGCCAGAAATGCTAATATTTGCAGAAATCTCCTGGTTTTGGCGCCTGGGTGTGGGGAGCCGAAGGACGCTGGTGGAATGTGAACACGGATTCCTGGCTGCCCGGAGTGGGGGCATGGGGAATCTCACATCCCGGCGTGACAGACCGCCTGGTGGGACGGCTCGTGCTGGTTTACACGAGGAGTCCTGGGGTGGGGAGGCTGGGCTGAGAAGCTCAGCAGTCACCGGTGTGAATCTGGTCCCTAGGAGCTGAGCTATTTGAGCATCCCTGGAAAAAAGAAGAAAAAAGCCACGATGAAGCGGTGTTGATCCTCCCGTGCCGGCTCCAGGGTGAAACCTCCCACTGCCCCAGTGTCCCCAGAGCCGTGCAGGACCCAGGGGCCCAGAAGAGCCCCAGTCCCATGGTGCAAACTCCCTCTCTCCGTGTAGTAGGAGTTGGATTCATCCATGCTGATCCCCACCCCTTCTCCACAAGCTCCTGGACACTGGAGGGACAAAACGACACAGACCTTCACACCACTTGGCTTTACTTGACCTGGGTCCTTTCGTGGCATGTTTGGGATGGTTTGAACCTGCTTTGAGCACCTCTCACCACCTCCATCTGGCTCTCATCTGGACCATGGTTGCCAGTTCATGGGGGTACCAGTTGGATGCCTTCAGAGCATGAGGCTCTGGCCTTAGCAAAACAGGGGTGTCTTTTGAGCCTGGGAAGAAAATATTGGCAAATAATGGCCTACCCTTTGGTCACCCTCCTCCTCCAGCTATTTATCCAAAGATACCATATCTCGGAGCATTGCTTCATTTCCTGCTCGCTTTTCTAACCGAGGCCTTTAAATCATGTCCCTGCAGCTGAGGTCACGGAGAGATGTGTAATATTCATTAACGGTGATGCAGCTCTTACCTTGATTCACCTCACCCCTTCCTCCTTTCACTTTTTCCTTTCTGTTTGCTGCTTTCCCTTCCTATTTCTTCCTCCCTCCTGGTCTTGGTGCAGGAGAGAGCTGGCAGGAGCCTACCAAAGCGGAGCCTTCTGGGGTGCAGCCTGGTTTTGGGGACCTTTTGGGACTCTGGGGATTCCTCCTGGACCAGCGGCAGCACATTCCCTCCTGGCCAGGGATGCCGTGGGCAGCGGGAAGGGCTGGCTCCAGGCTGCTCCATCCTCACCCCCGCAGAGCCCTTCCCCTGGGCCTTGTCTGGGTCAGAGTGTGGAAAAGCCCGGATTTAATTCAACTCAGTGTCTGAAACGTGGAAATAATGACGGCTGAAGGATCCCAGGGAAAGGACAGAGGATCAGACTGACAAGTCTCTCGGCTGTGTTTAAAACACGCTCCCACACGTGGGCTCTCACCCCCAGTAAGCAGCTGAGCTGGGAACTGCCAGGCACTGGAGTCACCCCATGAGGGGCTGCCCAGCACCTCCCTGTTGTGGGACCCCAGGGCTCCAGCCCCAATTTACCCCTCTGCCCCCTCCCCTGCCCCGCACCGGGCACCGCTCGGGGGAGAGCAGGATCCAGAGGAATCCAAGACCTCAGTGTTTGTTTGTACTCAAAACAAAGTGAAACAGGGAAATCAAAATGCAAAGCATCTCAGCCCCTGTCAAGCTTTCCTGCCTGCGTTTGGGGAGCCGACATGATGCTGTGGGTCAGCAGCTTCTTCCCCTTCTCCCCACGTATCGCTGGGAGCCCGGTGAAGCCCTCCAGCAGCCAGACCCACTGCACTCCCCACTTCATCCCCCACCTTCTCTGAGGCCAAACTGTGCCCCTGACACCTGTCTCCAAGAATACATGTTTATTGCACGAAACAGAGAACCTTGAAGGGGGTTGGACCTTATCCATGAGCTTTTGGCCAGATCCTTCCCGATCCACATTATCCTTCCTTTCCCCAGTGCATAATCAGACTCTCCAAACAGGGCGTTCTCTGGTCCCAGCCCAGAGCTTGGAGCCTCCCGAGAGAAATATGCTAAAAAAAGAAAGAAAAACATTACATTGCCAAGTGAAGCGAGTGCTGAAAGGAAGGAGATGCCAGGAGCACTTAAACAAGAATTTGAGACCGGGGGACGCTCGGGCATGTGTTTTCAATCCGCAGACAGGAGACGTGTTCACCAGGAGGTGACTGCCACTCGCTGTTAGCTTTAGACCCCGTAGCTGATGGCCCAGAAAGTTAAATGGCCTTGACGAGGACGTCCCTGTCTGTGTCAGAACTTTCTTCTTGGATCGATGGGTTGGCACAGCACGTGTTAAAATGGTGCCTCTCCTCCTTTGGCTCCAAAACCTGCGTTTGCAGCTTAAACCTGCAAAGATGGAGACGACCAATTTTATGTTGGGCGATGGGTCCTGTCGGCAGCAAGGGGAGTTATTTGGGAAAGTCAAGACATCAGGGGCTCCAGGACTCCCTTGGGTGCTGCAGGGTGTCCTGCAGCACTGGGAGCCAGCTGGCAGTGCCATGCCCTGGTGCAGAGCGTGGCTTCCATGAGAGCAGCATCCCATAGCCCCGTGCCAGCCCCAGAAGCAGGGTATCTGCTGGCAAAGCACCCCAGCACTGCAGTGGGGGGATGCTCCTGCGGTGCCCAGGACCAGGTTCCACCTGGGGCTGAGAAGGGAGCTGATGGGGGAGCTGGACATCAGCTGAGCTACCCCAAATTCTGCTGTTTAAGGGTGGAGCTTTAGTTATCTGAGCCAGCAATGTGCCCTTGTTGCCAAGAGGGCCAATGGAACCCTGGGCTGCATAGGAGTGTGGCCAGGAGGTGGAGGGAGGTCATTCTCCCCCTCTGCTCTGCACTGGGGAGGCCACAACTGGAATCCTGCGTCCAGTTCTGGGCTCCCCAGTTCAAGAGAGACAGGGAACTGCTGGAGAGAGTCCAACGTAGGGCAACAAAGATGATGGAGGGATTGGAGCATCTCCCTGAGGAGGAAAGGGTCAAAGAGCTGGGGCTCTTTACCCTGGAGAAGAGAAGGCTGAGGGGAGACCTTATTATTGCTGACAAGTATCTAAAGGGTGGGTTCAAGGAGGATGGAGCTGGACTCATTTCAGTGGTTCCCAGTGACAGGACAAGGGGCAACGGGCACAAGCTGGAACATGGGAAACTCCATTCAAATATGAGGAAGAACTTCTTTGTGGTGAGGGTGGCAGAGCCCTGGCACAGGCTGCCCAGGAAGGGTGTGGAGTCCCCGTCTCTGGAGATCTTCAAGCCCCTCCTGGATGCCATCCTGAGTGATATGCTCTGGGCAGCCCTGCTTTGGCAGGGGAGTTGGACTGGATGATCTCTAGAAGGTCCCTTCCAACTCTGAAAATTCCCTGATTCTGTGAATCTGGCTTCAGAGGGATAACTCTTCTGCAAACAACAGGCCTGCAGCTGCCTTGGGACGCATGGAGGTGCAAAGCTGGGGGCTGTCACCTCCTTGGGCTCATCCCAGCCCCGCGGGGAGGGATGAGCTCTGGGAACACAGAGCAAATGCTGATTCACGGGGACGTCTCCCAGCGCTGGTGCCTCGGGCTGCCGGGGGGAACTAACCTTTTGCAGCACATTCCAGATCTCTGCTGAAAAGCGATTATTGATGCTTTTACCTCTGTGCAGAGCCGCACAACTAACGGGCCGCGGCACTGCAAGCTGCAACAGGTCAGGGAGCAGCACCCTGGATACCCCGGGGCGATGTGTCCTGGGCTGGGCGTCTTCTCTGCGGGCGGGAGGGGCAGGAGCTTCCCGGGGGCTCAGCGCTGCGCTCTGGTTGCTGGATGCAGCCGTGCGGTGCGGGACGGGGCGGGGCGGGATGGATCGGTGCGGTGCGGGACGGGACGGTGTGGTGAGGTGCGGAGCGGGACGGGACGGGGCGGGGCGGAGTGGAGCGGCGCGGGCGGGACGGTGCCGGACGGTGCGGTGCGGGACGGTGAGGGACGGGACGGGGCGGGATGGAGCGGTGCGGGATGGTGCGGAGTGGTGCGGGATGGTGCGAAGTGGTACGGGATGGGGCGGGATGGTGTGGAGTGGTGCGGGACGGGATGGTGC